AAATTCCAATCGAACAGATTCTTCTACCGAACCACTGCTCTGTGGAACGGACTCCCAAGAGGATGCTTCCCCGATCACTAAAATCTTAATCTGTTCAAGTCTAGAGTTAACCATTATCTTTCAACCCTATTCATATAAACTACCCCTTAATGTACCCCTCTACCACGAATATCTCCGGGCCTTGGACAACTTACTGTAAAAAATACTATATGGAAATATAATGATATATTGCTGAAGTATTTTCAGAATATGAAACATTTTTCTGAATTAAAATTTTTCTGCTTTAATTTTATTTATTTCATTCTGTATTCCCTCATCATTTCTTTACTTCAATTTTGGAATCCGTCAAATTAACATCGGCCGAAATATGAGTATGTTGTTTTGTGACTTTCTTCGAATAGTCCTGGGCATGACGATAAACTACATCCGGCAACAGGGCATCTGATCGGGAGTCTACTCCACAAGTTGAAAGGTTACGGTGTCTCCGGACAATCCAATTTTTCTTATCAAATCGTGAAATGAATGTTATCTTGAACGGCCAATCTTCTAGATCCTTTTGTACTAACGCAGGTATACTTTAGGATTCTAGCCTCTCTCCTACTTTGTTTTAATTTGGATTAACGATCTTCTCCATGGCATCAGCTCTCTACTTGGTATCTATGCTGATGCCACAACCATTTACTCCTGTCTTGATAATAAGTTTGATAAGATCAAATTGGCAGCCGAAGTCAGAAACGATCTTCAGTCTGTTAAATGGAACAATGAATGGATTGCTAATTTTACCGCCTACAAAAGAAAACTACATTCTATTAATCATCTAAGAGACCCCTCTCTCCCTGGCTGCTTCATATGGTCCAGTGTTTCTGCTATATATATATATATATATATATATATATGTGTGTGTGTGTGTGTGTGTGTGTAACGGTCCTTGATAAAAGAAGAATCAGCAATATTATTGGTAGTGATCTGACGTCTCGGCTTTAGTCACTTTCCCACCGTGGTAAAGCTAAGCACAATATTATACTGGCGATGAAGTCTCATCAGTTTACAGTTGAGTTGGCTAGATGTATCCGCATTTTCTATGCTAACAGTTTCTTTTCTCACACTTCTCGTTTGTGGAACTCCTTTCCGGCTCCATACTTTCCAGTCTACATTAATCTTCAAAGATTTAAACGCAATGTCACTCGCTATCCTGTTTACTCTTTCTTTGTTCCACACACTTTAGTAACGTTTCTATTTTCTAATTGTATTAATAATCCTTGTGTTTTAGTGGCTTTATTGACGGGGTGAACTTGCATTAAAAAAATAATAAAATGCAATTTTAAGGGAAAATGAAGTGTTCTATAGGAATAAAGTTTCGCCGCCGACACATTTGATCCCATTTTGAATAAGTAGGTCACGTGATAGTAAAGAAAATATATATATGGGAATTATCGTGGCGTCTGAGCGATCACTATCCGGGTTACTTTGGAAGTGTGCTTGTCAAACTCTCTGCCTCCGGGCAGAGAGGAACCCATACGAAATTCTGCCCTTCGGTACAGCCTCATCTGGGGTAGTAGACAACTACCTGACCCCGTTTTTACGGGGTGTACGGGGAAATTTTTCCGAGCTTACAGGCTCGGATACCCCACTATAAACTTGGCCTTGTGCCGCATCCGGCCGCGTGAGGCGGTTAGTGAATATCTCATTGTACTGATTACTTCGGAAGTGTACTGGTCAAACTTGAGTATCCCAAGACAAGGCTATGCCTCTGGGCAGAGTCTCGTCTCGGGAGACAGCTACCCGACCCCGTTTTTAAGGGGTCTACGGGGAATTTTTGAATGACCCTACGGACTCGGATACCCCACTATAAACTTGGCCCTATGCCGCATCCTTCCGCGAGGGCGGTTAGTGAATGTCTTACCATACGGATTACTATTCGGATCACTATTCGGTTGTTATTTTTCGTGCGAGTATTATCGAGCAAGTACTATTAGTGCGTGATATTCGATGACGTCTGACACCAGTATTGTTCAACGGAGTTGCTATAGTGGTATCTGCGATTACAAACTCCCTACTACAACGAGCATTCCGAAAATGACAACGAGTATTCATTGACATGACGAAAGTGGCAACGAGTGTTGGTTGATATCACAAAATGAAGCAATACTTTTTATAGTATAACTACCAACAATACATTTTAGAGCAAAATGCTCAACAATGCGTTTTATCTGCAGTTGAAGGCATACACTTGCCTTAAAAATATATTTAGTTGAAGCCAATTTAGTTGAATTGTTTAAAATATTTAGATTTTGGTATTAAATAACCCATAGATGTTGATATGCCGCTAAACGATATCAACCAACCAACGTAGGCTATAATGGCCGTCCACCGCTTCCTTTTGCTTATTATCTATGAATTGCCATGGATATTTCTGAATGATAGTGGAGTGGTTTCCTGTTGCCACTGATTTAAATTCAGACTTCTCCTTCTTCTTGTCTGGTCACTATACAAATAGAGCCCTGTCTGCCATGATACTTAACACAGAAGGAGTGAATTCATGCCTTTGTCAATGGCATTAGCGAAAAAGTGAACGCAATATAAACCGGAACGTGCCGATAATTATAACGCTACAAGCATATCCATAGACCGTTAACATTGAACTGTATATGGGTTTTATTAGAGGCTTCACACCTTTAACCTTGTGTCACCTTAGCCCACGCTCAAGTAATAGCCATATATTTACATAAACACCCAATTTTGACGACATGAACAAGAATCTTCGAATGTTTAAACTTATTGCGAGGAGATGAACGATTCCTCATACTTATCTCGTAGAAGATCAGCTGGTTTCACTTACTGTATAATTTGGTGCAACCCTGCACCCTTTGGGGACCGAGTTTTCGTTTGGTGGCTTTGAGGTTACCTTCTGACATTCTGAAGTGACACCAACTACAAAACATACTTCTGAATATCTTAGAGTGAACGTAGTGCATATTGAGGTAACGACTGATGAACGCCTCTTAGATCATGGATCTTGATGGACATAAAATTCAATTTAGACCTATTTCTCGTTGTAAGTCCCATAATGAACAAATATGTATTTTTCCTAGTCAATATTTGCTTCCAGTAAAAGATCAGTTTTTGATAACCGAATTCCTGAGAAGAAAGCATATATTAACTAACGACATGCTGCTATCATAATGGCATATTCTTTACTCGTCTTGAAAGACTGTGGTGCCTTTCAGGCATTTTATTTTGCACAGTCACAGCAAAAATCCAAAGAATAAAACTAGAAGGGGATTTAGAAAATACATGTGTTATTATAGTTGCGAATAAATTAGCTTATTTGCGAGACGAAAAATGCGGACGCGTAAACATTGATTTCGCTTCAGATAAAAAGCTCGAATTTTACGACAATGAGAAGAAGCAAATATAATAGCATTCAATAGATCATGGTTTTCTTTTCTTTATTGCTAATTTATTTTTCCTTTTTTTAATTCTCCCCTTTATCTTTTTTTATCGTATTTCGAAATCTCTCTCTCTCTCTCTCTCTCTCTCCTTACTTTCTTTAATATTTAGGATTTATTTCGTCACGTTTTTGATTATTTTTGCTTATTATTTTTCCCATTCCAAAAATTTAAATTTAAGTATTTATTTATTCCAAAAGTTATTGTCGTTTTATTTTGTAGCAAAAAAACGGCATGTTTTTAACACGTTATTTACATATTCCAATTTGTTTTGTTTTTTACATATCCTATTGACGTCCATCCATAGTAACAGCTTATATATATATATATATATATATATATATATATATATATATATGTATATAATTATTTATTTAAAAATATGATTCCATCGCTACATCAGAGTTCTCGTGTTTCAAAACAAGAGCCGAAAACTTCAATATAATTATTTGAATTAAATTGAATTAAAGTACCAAGCTCTGTTTCATCTTCAATCGAAAATTTTTTTTTAATTTTAAAAAAAAATTTTGGGTAAATTTTTTGATTCCCCAAAAATTCGCTATATATATATATATATATATATATATATATATATATATATATATATAAAATTATCATTAAAATAATTGTTTGAGAAATTGAAACATTCAAATATAAATATTGTTTTTAATCATTTCACTCTAAGCAAGAAAATAAAGCTAAGACGCAAAAGGTTACTGAACGTTGGATAATGTGATGAGAAAAATACAATATTAAAGAGAGAAAACAATTCAAAAACAGGAATTCAGAAGGCAATAGGTAACAATTGACGAATCCATTTAAATTTTTGACGATCAAGGTTGACTGGTTAACAAGGAACCGGAAGAGAATACCGGAAGTGAGATAGAAGAAACTGTTAGCATAGAACTTACGGTTACATCTAGCCGTTTCAACTGAAAAAATGATGAGACCTTGCCACCAATCTAGAGCTGCGCTTAAATTCATAAAGTCTAGGTACCATCAAGGAAAGTTCAATATCATGAAAGTATTTATAGAAAAGGCAATGAAAGATACGTTACGGCGGTATGAAAGTGACTGAAGCTGATATGTCAGCTCAGGACTAATAAAATTAGAATAAGAATTTTTAAATTTTTCATCTGAAATAAAAAAAAAAGCGCGTAATTTAATCGAAATTATGAAAATATATACAAGAAGACGTCAGTTTAAAATGACGCCAACAGAAAATGCTTAACTATTATTTAATCTTTTTCTTTTGATTTCTTTTTCTTTGTGTTCTTTCTATTTCTTTTCTTCTTTTTTATCACTTGTTTCGTCTTCCTCCTTTTTTAAAATTTCTTCTTTAATTTTCGTCTTTTCCATTTATCGATTGTCGTCATATATATGTTAATTATTGGCGGTTGAATTTACTAGAAATTTTAAGCAGTGATACGCTACTTACCTTGCTTGTTTATTGATACCTACATCATCAACTTCAGGTGTAGCAGAAAATGAACAATAAACAGCTTCCTCTTCTCGCTTTTCCGGTATTGACTCTGAAGAAAATTTGCTTACTGACGGCATATCTTCCCCACCGGCGACCTCAACAGGAAGGATAATAATAAGAATAACGATTGAAGAAATATAATTAAGAAACGTTTGGGCCAGAAAGAGAATTCATGAAGGAAGGAGAATCGGAAGACGACGAGAAAATATCTGGGAAATGGAAAATGATAATAATAAGGGGAAGTTAACAAAGAAAGACAAGCAGACATTTTACTGAATCATAAAAGAAGAAGAAGAAGAAGAAGAAGAAGAAGAAGAAGAAGAAAAAGAAGAAGAAGAAGAAGAAGAAATAAATAAGAGACGCAAATTAAGAGGAGAAAGACAATGAATGGAAGAAGAATATAAGATTGTCAAATGGAGAAGAGAAAACGTGAGGACAGTAGACTGAGCAAATAGACTGAGCCCATTGAGCAGGGTGCCATCTTTGATCGAATTTAGAAAAAAGGCAGCAAATTTCAGATCGGGATGATGATGATGATGATGATGATGATGATGATGATGATGATGATGATTTGAAAAGCTGTCTGTTGATAATAATAATAATAATATGCCACCATCCATAAGATTACACATCATCATCTCCAAAGGCAACAGTAAATATACCTCAGACAATGATGATGATGTGATCTTATGGATGGTGGTATATTATTATTATTATTATTATTATTATTATTATTAGTAGTAGTAGTAGTAGTAGTAGTAGTATCAAATAAATAGCTTTTCAAATCATCATTATCCGACATTTACTGCCTTCTGCTAAATTTGATCAGAGAAGATGGCACCCTTCTCAATGGGCTCAGTTGGTTTGCACAGTCTATTGTCGTCTTCTTTCGCCAAAAGCCATTCAGTAAAAGTTGAAAGAGGAAGAAATACAAAATATCTAAGGAGCATAATTAAAATCATTAAAGATATTTAACGAATGCGTTAATAGACAAAGTGAAATATTCGTTAGAAGTTGCCAATGCTATTTCCCATTTGTAGTCAGAGAGTGGAATAATAATAATAATAATAATAATAATAATAATAATAATAATAATAATAATAATAATAATAATAATATGAATGATGATAATGATAATAAGAGTAAAAATATGACCGATAATAAGAATGATAATAATTGTTGTAACCTAGAAAGGGTTACTGAATGAGGAATATCCAAAATGGAGGTTGGAAATAATATGGTAATTTTTATAACATCAACAAAATACAATACTCGCCAGTTATTGCTTGCCGTTTCCACTGAGTGCAAGTACACACTACCCAACCCAGGATTGAACTCACAGTCACTATAACAACTTCATTTTCAGTTGAAAAATACAAAATACATTTTTAGTTGTTTGGTGAACTGATAGTTTGCCTATACTGTAAAAAAAAAAAAAAAAAAAAAAAAAGAAAATAAAAAAAACAATGTAAGAAGAAAGTTTTTGAATTGAAAACAAGGAAAGCTGAATGGGGGGGGTAATTGGAGATAAGCATTCTCAAGTAAAATATGAAACTGATCCAGAAGGGTGATAGCAACTTTTACTGAATGGCTTTTGGGGAAAGAATACGACAATAGACTGTGCAAACCAACTGAGCCCATTGAGAAGGGTGCCATCTTCTCTGATCAAATTTAGCAGAAGGCAGTAAATGTCGGATAATGATGATTTGAAAAGCTATTTATTTGATACTACTACTACTACTACTACTACTACTACTACTACTACTAATAATAATAATAATAATAAAAATAATATACCACCATCCATAAGATCACACATCATCATCTCCAAAAGCAACAGTAAATATACCCCAGACAATGAAGAGGAAGAAATAGAAAATATCTAAGGAGCATAATTAAAATCATTAAAGATATTTAACAAATGTGTCAACAGAGCAGAATAATAATAATAATAATAATAATAATAATAATAATAATAATATAAAATAGCACAGCCAGTTGAATCTGAGGATGACAAACTGCTAGGGCGGCTAGCTAATCCCCATTGCAGACGCCTGCTCAGGTACATTTCTATTTGTTCAACACCCACAGAGCCCACCTGTAGTTATAGTGTATCTATGCTGAGTTGATCTTAGTTACAGTTTCTAGGAGAGAACGCATTATCTAGCGTGATCAACTGTCCGAACAAGGCAAACACGCCGAAACGCTCGGCCACGATGACTTGTGACTTCATGCTAGCACAGCCACCGACGGTTCTCTACCCAACTTCACACTCAAGGCTTTTGTTAACTGGTGGTATGGTTTTCGGGCACTGTCCAAAAGTGCCACATGCTAGGATTGCCTTCTCCAAACTGCTAGCATCAAGAAGTTATGTGATAATAATAATAATAATAATAATAATAATAATAATAATAATAATAATAATAAACTTATCGATTGAATGGATCGACGGCAGAAAGGCGTTGGACAGTTTACCACACTCATAAATAGAGAAGAACATAGATATGCGACTGTATATCAAAATATATAAACATACACCCCACGAAGGTCAAATTCATAATGGAGAATATGAAGAACTGTAAGACAACACTAAACCTAATCCATAGTCTGAACAAGGCTCACACGCTGAAACTCTCGGTCACGATGACTTTTGACATCGTGCTAGCACAACTACCGACGGCTCTCTACCCAATTTCACTCTCAAGGCTTGTGTCAATTGGTTGTATGTTTTTAAGACAGTTTCCAAAAGTGCAACATGCTGGGACCACGTTCTCCAGGCCGGTGACATCAAGAAGTTATGTGCTAGTGATAATAATAAGAAAAATAATAATCTGAATAATAATAATAATAATAATAATAATAATAATAATAATAATAATAATAATAATAATACTATCCAGAAACAATTGATCATCTTGTCTCAGGTTGCACAATATTGGAACACACTGAATATAAAATCTGGCATGACAGAGTGGGCCAATATCTGCACTGGAAAATCTGCAACTTCTACGGGAAGAAAACTGAAAGAAAATGGTATGAACACCAACCAGACCCGGTTACGGGAGATAGGACCTGTTACAATTCTATGGGACTACACAATACACACTGACAGAACAATCAAAGCCAACCGCCCAGATATTTTTTTTTGTCAGTGGAAAGTGTCATGATGCCATTTCTAACCTAAGGTCTCTGGGCGGGACCCGGAAAGAAATGAGTAAACGCCAGAAATATAAGAAAATAATAATAATAATAATAATAATAATAATAATAATAATAATAATAATAAGAAGAAGAAGAAGAAGAAGAAGAAGAAAGCGAAACTTATAGATAGCACAAATCGACTACAGAAAGGCGTTCGACAGTGTACCACACTCAAGGATAGAGAAGAGCCTAAAAATATACAGAGCCTGTCTCCACAATGGTCAAAATCTTAACGGAGAGCATACAAACTGGAAAACTATACTAAATCTAAACCACAGAAACGGGTCATTAATATCGAGACAAATCAACATCAAAAGCGGGATCTTCTATTGTCACCATTACTCTTTTGTCTTGCATTCGCGCTACTCAGTTGCTTACTAAGCAACTGAGTAGCTACGGATACACGTCACAGAATGGTAAACTGAATCATTTATTCTATATTGCTGATCTTAAAACGGTTGCCAAGGATGAATACAAGTCGAAATACCTCCTCACAATTGTCAAAACCTTCAGCGAGGGCATTAGGATGGAAAATGAACAAATGTGCAAATGCCACCTTTAAATACGGTAAACTAACGAAAATACAGATTTAGACCTTGATATCAACATCAAGATAAAGAAACTCGACCAAAATGGTACATACAAATACTTAAGAATTAATGAAGGAGACGGAATACCACATTCAATTATTAAGAAAAAAGATCCGAAAACAGTATTATAGGAGAATACATTTGATACTAGAAAGCGAAATAAATGGTGACAATGAAATGAATAAAAATCAACCCCTTAGCTATACCCGTAGTAACAAACTGCTTCAACATTATTAAATGGAAATTGAATGACATTAAAAAATGGGCGTCAAGATCAGAAAAATACTTATATAAATCAGGATGTGCCATTGAAATTAGATGCTGATAAGGTGTAGGTATCAAGAGATTTGGAAGGCCGAGTTCTAATCCAACTTGAACTCTAAAAACTACATACCTGACAAAAAACAATGACCCTCCCCTACAAACTGTAAGTCACAACACCCACTCCATCAACAATGAAGCTGGACACTTCAAGTAACAACTTAATATATCTGAAACTCTACCAACAAAAAACGAAGCGATTATCATCTATCCCAAACGAGTAAAACAGGAAGCAAAACAACTTGGCCGAATGAAATTACAAAAACAAAAATCCTCAAAACTGGAGGGACAACGAGTTGCATGGCAAATATCTAAAAAGAACAAAAAATCAGATATGGACCAACAGAAAACACATCAGTGGCTGAGAAGCACTGGGTTGAAAGCTGAGACAGAAGGCCTAATTATTGCAGCTCAGGACCAAAACCTCGAAACCAGATTCTACCGCTGTCACATAATAAAGTACGTAACTAACCCGAAATGCAGAATCCGCGGAAAATATGATGACAATATTATCTCAGGGTGTCCGTAACTAGCAAATAAGGAATATACCCACAGATATAACAAGGTAGCGACGTTTGTTCACTGGAAGATATGCAAGAAGCACAAAATCGAAACCACTGGGAGATGACATGACCGCCAACTAGACACAGTTACCCAAAGTAACTATCCTCTGGGACATGCCAGTTCAAACAGACAGGGTAATGAAAGCCAACAGACCTGATATTATCATGAAAGACAATACATTCAGGAAGTGTATGCTTATTGACATAGCAGTACACTCTGAGAGAAACAGCTCCATGAAAACTATCAAGAAACTGTTCAAATCCTATGACCTGGAGATCGAGATTAACAGGATGTGGGGAATAAAGACTGAGACTGTACCAATAGTAATCGGATCTCTGGTCCCCGTGAGAATTGGAATGAAGAATTTTACTAACAATATCCCAGGTAACATCAGCATACAAGTTTCCCAGATGATCGCTTTACTAGGAACATCCAATATACTAAGAAATACTAGACAAAATTGTAAGATCTTGTACAAACGTTGCTTGTCTTGTAATGAAAAAAAAAACGGCTGTACTGGAATGAAATGCCGTCAGTGCGGAGGTATGCAACTGAAACTTTCTTAATATGATGACCATCTTGTTCATCTTGGAATGTTCCTTAAGTTGATTAGTTACTAAGAGGAATTAATTAAACAACTTAGTATAAATCTTATGGAACTCTCCTTTCATTCTGTACATTTTCCCGTGCCGGGAATTTATTAATTTGCTTACGTCACCATCCTCATACGTTTTAAGAGTAGAAAGGTCAATAGATTCTGAATATTTTTTTCAGAATATGCATCTTAAGATGCTTGTTTGAAATT